AGGGAGTCTCACACCTGAGGCTCACACCTGTCTGTCCTAGTGGCTCCTGTGACAGTATCTGCTCTGGGTGTGACATCAGTGCAGGCAGAGGGAGGGCAGGGCCCTTATGGTCCACTGAGGGGTGCAACCCTGAGACTCGAGGGCTCCAGGACCAGTGTGGGGACACTGAACCCTAGGAGGGTGGGGCCGGCTTGCTCTGCCATTTAGTGGCTGACCCCCCACACATCTGTCCAGGCACCTGCACCAATGACCAAAAGGATGATTGCCGCATGCCTGGGGGGGCAGTGGCTGCCTCCTGCTCTGAGATGTCTGGCCTCTGGAACGTGACCAACTCTGACCAGCCATCCTGCCACAGGCCTCGCCTGGCACCCACAACAGTGGGGCCCACCACTGTGGGGACCATGACTCCGCCCCCTGAGTGCCTGCCATCCCCAATCTGCCAGCTGATTCTGAGCGAGTGAGACTGTGGGCAAGGGGGTGGTCCCACTTATCCCACCCTTCCAAGGGCAGGTGGGAAGAAATGGGTCTTCGGGGGCTCCTTGCCCATGCCACGGGTTGTCCCTAGGGCTCCTAGCAGGATGGTCATCTCTGAGCCTGTCTTCAGGCTCACTCCTATAGATGGGGACATTGGTCACTGTCCCCAAGCAGCACCCAGGTGTGCAGGGCCAGGGCAGCCCAGTGGAGGAGGATTTATAGGAAGGATTAGGTGGGGCATCCAGACCCTGCTCTCACCTCATGCTCGTCCCTTATCCTGAGACAGGGTGGCTTGGCACACAGTGGGGACCCAGAGACCCACAGGGCTCACTCAAGGGAGCATTGTGCAAACAGGTCGATGCCCAGGGATGCCTGGTAGGGCCACACGACAACTGAGCCATCCCTACCCATAGGGTCTTCCAACTATGCCACACCATGATCCCCCCATGGCCGTTCTACGAGGGCTGTGTCTTCGACCAGTGCCACATGCCCGGCACTGAGGTGGTGTGCTCCGGCCTGGAGCTCTATGCCTCACTGTGTGCCTCCTACGGCGTGTGCATCGACTGGAGGAGCTGGACCAACCACACTTGCCGTGAGTGCCTGGCTTGGACAGCCACTGCCCTCAGGCTGCACTGGCTGTGAGGGGACAATGAGGGTAGCTTCCTAGAGGAAGAGGGAGGCCTGACCCAAGCACTGTGCACTCAGTTCCCTAAGAGAAAATATGGGCCCATGGCCTAAAGTGCTGGGGAGTGGTGGCCATGGGCACCTCCTGAGGGGGCGCTTGTGCTCAGAGGCCCAAGAGGCTCTGGGCTGAGCCCTTCTCCTTAGGTGTGACCTCCCCTCCCAACAGCATTCACCTGCCCTGCTGACAAAGTGTACCAGCCCTGCGGCCCCACCAATCCCTCCTATTGCCACGGGAACGACAGCGCCAGCCTCATGTATGTGCCTGCCCCTCCCCCACTAGGCGCCTCTGCCCCAGAGCAGGGCCACCACCAACCCTCTGCTCCCCACAGGGTCCTGCAGGAGGCTGGCCCCATCACGGAAGGCTGCTTCTGTCCCCGTGGCATGACGCTCTTCAGTGCCAGCACCCAAGTCTGTGTGCCCATGGGCTGCCCCAGTACGTGCGACCTGGGTGTGGGCTAGGGGGTGTGGCAGAGCCCAGGGCCCACTCCAGTCCCTGACACACATCTTTCCCAGCTGACCTTGCATCTCTTTGCCTCCAGGGTGCCTGGGTCCAAATGGAGAGCCGATGGAGGTAAGCACTGGTCCAGCCCCAATCCTGGGCCACAGCAGGGACAAGGCACTCAGAGGAAGGGCGAGTCTAGACGAGAGCCCAACAAGATGAGGGGCTCCTCTTCCTGCCTGCCTTGTGGATGGAGCCGGAGCCCCATTTCCCCTGGGGCAGCAGCATGGAGCTGACCCTGAGGCTGCCCATGTCTTCCCTCCCTGGGCACCCTTGCCCCACTGGGACATGTGAAGGCATGGGGCCCTTCTGAAGCCCCCTTCCCTAGCGTTCCCCAAGGGCCCCTCAGCTATAGGTTGCAGCTGGCCATGGGCTGGGGCTCACGCATCCCTTACCTTGCAGCCGGGCCAAACCATCAGTGTCGACTGTCAGGAGTGCACCTGTGATGGGGCCACTTGGACCATGACCTGCTGGCCAAAGCCTTGCCCACTGCCCCCCATGTGCCCCCTGCCTGGCTTCGTGCCTGTGCCCATGGCTCCGCAGGCTGGCCAGTGTTGCCCTCAGTACAGCTGCGGTGAGCCCTTTGCTGTGTGGTGATGCCGGCTGCCCTGCACAGTCTGGGGTGGGGGGCTGAGCCTGGCCCCTCCAGAAGGCCTACCCTTTGGGGCCCAGGGTGAGGGAGGGTGGCCAGCATTCCTGGAGACCCCTGGGAGGTGGGCCTTTGGCCAGGCTAGGGGCAGGTGCAGACTCCCTCCTGCCCTCCTCCTGCCCTATAGCCTGCAACACCAGCCACTGCCCCAAGCCTGTGGACTGTCCCCAGGGCTCCCGCCCAATCCTGACCCATGAAGAGGGGGCCTGCTGTCCAAGCCAGAACTGCAGTGAGTGTCCCAGCCCTGTTAACCACCCAGACCCTGTGGTCCGGGGTGCCAAGAGGTGGGGAGGGGCTGGTGGCTGCCAGTTGGGTGCAGCCTGCTTGTCTCTCCCAATAGGCTGGACGGTCTGCCGTGTCAATGGGACCCTGTACCAGGTGAGACAGCTGGGCTCAGAACCCATAGCCCATAGGGACTGAGCCCCCTGCCTGCCTTGCTCTCCTACCAGCCCACAGGGTCTCTGCAGACACTGGCACTCAACTCCCCTGGGACCAGGGCACTGTTTTTCTTCCAGGTCCTGGAGGTGTAAACTTGGCCCAGGTCTCTGGGGCTCTGGTCCCTTAACACCTACAGCCCCTCCAGCGCCCCCCAGAGTGTGTAGTCTCACTGGGGGTGTAGCATGGGGCTCTGCCCTCAGGATGTGGACTCTGGGCTAAGGTCTCTGTACAGGGGTTTCTGCCAGGGATCCCCCTGGGAGAGGTCAGCCTGGCAGGGGGCCCAGCACACTCACTAATGTCTGTCCACTCCAACTCTACAGCCCGGTGCAGTGGTCTCCTCGAACCTGTGTGAGACCTGCAGGTGTGAGGTGGACGGCAGCCCCCAGGCGGGCACACCTGTGGTCAGCTGTGAGACCCAGATCTGTGACATCCACTGCCCTGTGGTGAGTGCCCACCCTGGCCTCCTCCCGTTCCACCCCAGCAGCCAGCCAGGGGCTCAGGTCACATGTCCACCCCCTCCCCACAGGGCTTCAAGTACCAGGCACGGAGTGGACAGTGCTGTGGCACCTGTGTGCAGGTAGCCTGTGTCACCAACACCAGTGGCACCACTGCCCACCTCTTCTATGTAAGTAGCAGCTACCATGTGCGCTGAGAGGCCTGAGGGGTTCTCAGCTGGCAGGGTTCTGGCACACTGGGCATTTGGGGAGCTGGTAAGGTGGAGCCTGAGCCCCTAGGCCAGGGGAAGGCAGGCAACAACAGATGGGGGTGCCAAGGGGAGAGAGTCACCTATGGGCCCGGCTTCCTTTCAGCCTGGGGAGACCTGGTCAGATCCAGGGAACCGTTGCGTGACCCACGAGTGTGAGAAGCACCAGGATGGACTTGAGGTGGTGACCACAAGAAAAGTGTGTCCCCCAATCAGCTGTACTCTGGTGAGTTCTGGGCCCCCATCCCAGCCAGGAGTTGCCCCACAAGGGGTTGGGGAACTGTGATCAGCCTCATGGTGCCAGCAAGGATGTCACCTCCTGTGTGAGTGCTATCGTCCCCATCTGAGCCTGGCCCAACTCCAGCCCCCATTTCTGGGCAGCCTCCCTGCACTGACTGGCCCTTGTCCCACAGGCCCAGGCCCAGCTGAATGAGGATGGTTGCTGCCTCTTCTGTCCCCCGCCCCAGCCCCAGAACAGTGAGTGTACCAGGCTGCTGGTGGGGCCTACCTGCCTGGGGAGGTCCATGGAGTGGACTGGCTGGCCCTGACCCCTACACCACCTTTGTCTTTCCCTAGAGTCGATCTGTGCTGTGTACCATAAGTACCAGGTCATTCGGCAGCAGGACTGTAGCTCTGCCCAGCCTGTGCGCCTGGCCTACTGCCAAGGCAACTGTGGAAACACTGGCTCCATGTATGTAAGCCCCTCCCTCGTCAGCCTGGGGGCTCTTGGAGAGTGTTCAGAGAAGACAGGATTGGCAGAAGGGTATAGGCGGGCCCCTAGCATTAGGGACGCCAGACACATGAGGGGCAGACCCATGGAGGGACCAGAGGGCAGCCCAGGGTAGGGTAGGGCTGGGGTAACAGGGCTCTGCTGTTAATGAGACCACCTTGATTACTTGCTGCAGCCACTCTGTGTCTGTCGCTAGCTCCACATCAGAACATCACAGCAGTGGCTGAAATCAGCCTGGGTGGAGGTGTTTCCAAATGAGGTGGGGGTGATGAAGTCACTTGGAGCCTAGCGTGGTATCCAGCATAAGGCCAGAGGCTGGGCATCCCCAGGGAGGCCACAGTGCTGAGCAGGCCCTGCCCACAGGTACTCCCTGGAGGCACAGGCACTGCAGCACAGGTGTGCTTGCTGCCGGGAGCTGCGAGCCTCGAGGAGGAGTGTGACCCTGTACTGTGCCGACGGCTCCCGCCAGGCCTTCAGTTACACCGAGGTGGAGGAGTGTGGCTGCGTGGGCCAGCACTGCTCCTCGCCAGGTGACATCAGCCACTCTGAGGAGCCAGAGCCTGAGCAGAGTGAGGAGGACCATAACCAGGATACAGAGGGCAGTGGGCAGGCAGGGGCCCAGGTCTCCCCTGCCCACATACCGGCACCACCGGCCTCCTGACCCACCAGAGAGAACGTCTTTTACGTCCTCCCGTCTCAGCCCCTGAGGCCAGAGGAACTTGTGCCCTTGTCCAAGTGACTGTCATCCAGAACCCAGTCCACCTGCCACGTGCACTTCCAGCGTCCACACTGGGCTGGCCCCTCCTGCCTGGACCCACCTGCTGAGGAAGAGCCTGGGGCAAGGGGATTCCTCTGGCCTTCCCATTTGGGACTGAAGCATCATGTGAGGGTCTCATGAGTGACTGTCACTGGACATGGTCATCAATTGCTTGGTGGCTGCTGGGAAGTAGAGCCTCACCCCTACCTCAGCACCAGACCTGTGTCCCCTCCTCAGGAAATGGCCAACCTGGTTCATAATATACTTTGAGCATTTTGCAATTCTTGGACTCTGAATTTTTTGGCTTATCCATGAAACCCAGGAACAGGGCAGTGGCAGAGCAGGGCATGGGGACTGGGGTTAGGGGGCTGCTCAATCTGTCTGCTGGGCGAGAGCAGGCCTGCTCTTAGGGCTGCCTCAGGAAGTCACCATGACTCTGCAAAGGTCAGTGAGGGTCCAGCTGCAGTCTCAAGTCAAGGAGGCTCAATGAGTGAGGGGTGAGAGTGAGCAGATGAGTGAGTGGTGGATGAGTGGGTGGAGGGCAGGGGGCGGGCATCAAGAGTGAGCCCAGGAGGGCTGGGCCAGGAGGGCCTGTGAAGGGCTGGGGGAGGAAGCATGTGCCCTGGGCATAAAGCTTCTGGCCACCTGGGGAGGGGCAGGTTGGGGTGAACTTGCAGGTGGGTGTGCAGGTGGGCCTGCTGGCTGGCTCCAGAGAGGGGTGGGTGGGACTCTAAGACCTGTGTCTCTTCTGGGACCGCTATGACCCTCACTATCCCACCTTCACCTTCCTGAGGCCTGGCCCACTCTCCTGTAGAGGTGGGTATGGAGACAGACACCCCTGGCAGCACACTGGGCCTTGGCCACAGGGCAGCACTGGCTCTACGTCCCAAGAGCTGGCAGAGGCATCTGGAGGATGGGCTACACCAGGCAGGGTGGGGCTTGGAAGGCTGTGGTCAGCTGCCATCAGCCCAGGGCCAGGTTGACATCCCACACTCAAATGCCACAGGGTTCAAGGGCTCCCCAGCCCCTTTCTAGGGTGGGTGGGGGGGGGAAGTGGCCCCCAGGGCAGAAGAGCCAGAGGGCAGGCATGGTCCAGATGGACAGTGCTGGCCACCTAGGGACACACTGGGTCCTGCCTGGCCCCCATGCCCCTCTGTCTGGGGCAGAGGGTGCAGAGCAACCAGGAGGATATTGGTGGTCCAAGATGGTAGATGTAGTAAGCTGGCCTCATGTTCTCTGCCTGAGTGTGCAGTTCCCAGCCTGGGATTCGATGGCGCCCACTACTTCAGCTGCTTGCTCCCCTTCCTCTGTTACAGGAACCAGGCCAGGCAGGGTTGGGTCTGGGACCGCATGGGGAGCGGCACCGACCTCCCACTTCCAGAATCCTGGCCACGCTCCCTGCAGCCATCACCAGGGGGCAGCACCTGAGCTCTCTCTGCCTATGTCCTCCAAGGCGGGACCTCACCTCAAGGCTGGCCCATGCCTCAGCCAAGGCAGATCAGAGGCCTGGAGTGAGGAAGGGGCTTAGGGCACCCAGGTCCCCGGCCAAGGGCAGGGACAGCACCCACGGGCTGGGAGGGGTGGGCCTGGGCCAGAGGACCTGGCCTCCCCCTCAAGCCCCATGTAGCCAGTCCTGCAAGTGGGGGACAGTGTTGGCCCCAAAGGCACCCAGGTCCAGCCTGCCTGAGAGTCACTCAGAGTCCTCAGGCACTGGCAGATCAGAGGGCACAGATGGACAACCCCACACTGGTTTTTGAGGGGTTTTCCAGTCACGAGCTGGCCTCTTGGCATGGTAACTCCAGCTTGGGTTCAGGTCTGGGGGCTGCGGGCTATCCCTAGATAGCCCCCAGCTGCCCAGCCTGGCCTGCTCCTAGGCATAGAGTTGATCTTGGAGCCTATTGTGACCAGGGAGCAGGGGCAGCTCTTGGGCTGTGACCTGCAGTCCCCTGGTGGCTGGGTGGGAAACATGGCTGGGGAGCTCCTGCTCCATGCAGCCAGTTGACCCCACTGACCCCACAGCCACTGCCAGTGCCCTAATCAGCACCATTGCCCCCCCCAGGCGGATCTGGTGTCTGAGCAAGATGCCGCCCCTCTCAGCATGGGGTAGATGCTGCTGACTAATCCCCCACCCCCCAGGGTGAACACAGGCTGGGCCAGGCATGGTCCTGCAGCAGGAAGTAACTGGATAGCAGGTCCCTGGTGGAGCGGCTGCCTCACCCTCTCATTGCCCTCCTGGCCCCCCTAACCCCTGGGCAGGTTACACAAGCCACAGCTTCCAGAAAGTGCTGTGCAGCTGGGCACAGAGCCAGACTTGGGCAGCTCTAACTGTGTCCCTGCTGCCCACTCCTTCTGGACACCAGGTACCTCTGAGGGTGTCAGGAGAAGCTGGGGGCCAGGGTTGGCTCCAGAACTTGGCCAGGATCAAGGGCTGGACATGCACATTTTGGGCTCTGCCCCCAAGGAGCCAGAATTGCCTGTCCAATGGGGCAAGGAGTCTGCCTTCATGCTTGGGGCCATACTGGGGCCAGCTTCCGCACACATTAACGGATTGGGGAGCATCCCAGACATGGGAGCAAGATGGACAGAGATGAGGCCTGGGGAGCCCATGACCATGAGTGCAGGTCAACTCAGCCTCCTCCCTTCCTGTCCGTGGATACCCCTACCCGGAGCTATGGGATCCTGGTATCCCCCATCTGCTCCTGACCACAGGAGAAGGCTGTTTGGTCCAAGGCCAGAGGCAGGCGTTGGGCTCTAATTTAGGTCAGCTTGGTCCTAGGTCCTAGGTCACAGGCAGGTGGGTGCTTGGAGCTCTTTGCCCACAGACCTGGGCCCTGGGAAGCAGCTCGCCTTTGTAGAGCAATAGGGATCTCAGGTACATGCGCAGCTGGGATACACAGGGCTGCAACAACCTCAGATGGCCAGCTAGGCCCTGGGGACAGAGAGACCCAAGGACGACCTTAAGGAACCTTGGGTTTCTGCGAGGACTGCTCACCCTGGGTACAGCTCCCACCGGACACTGGACATACAACCCTGCCCTAACCTATGCCTGGTGGCTGGGGGCTTCCAGGAAGGGCAGTGTGTCTGACAAGATCAGACACATTTAGCCAGTGCCAAAACCTCATAGAGACAAAAAACTGCAGAAGAAAAAACCACCTATGTGGAAAACCCAACCGGGTCCACAGATGAGCCCCTTGCACCAGAGAGGTGGTCTAGCAGGGCAGCCGGACACAAGGGCAGCCATCTGTCCACATTCTTGAATGCCACCGGAAAACATAACACAAAACACATCGCCAGTTGCGTCAAAGCTGTGGGTGAGTGACTGGCCTAGCGTAGAATGCCCACACCTTGGACAGAGGGACCAGGGGACACAGGAGCAGGAAGGACGCCACACACACAGGTGTGGCTCTCAGCTACCTGTAGCTGGTGAGACTTCGGAGGAAGTTGGCAACACTTGTGGAGTCTGCATGGACTGACAAAGGTCCTCAAATATCCGGGTCAGCTTAGAAAGGGAAGAGCCGGGAGTACACTGCCTGCCAGCTGGAGGGCTCCCCCCAACCACGGGGGCTCCTGGAGCCCTGTGCATAGATGGCTGCCCTCTGCAGCCAGCTAAGCCCTGGGGACAAAGAGACCAAGAAGGACAACTTTAAGGAACCTTGGGTTTCTGTTAGGACTGGGTTTGGAGGACCCAGAAAAGCTCTGAGTGTCTCTGTCCTCAGGGCTTAGCTGGCCACAGTAGGCAGCCATCTGTCCACACCCTTGAATGCCACCAGAAAACATAATACAAAACACATCTGGAACATAGGCTGGGAGCTGTGTCTGGGCCACTTCCCTCTGCGTCTCTGCATCTATGCGGCAGCCCCAGCAGGCTTCTGAGTGCTGAGGACTCAGGCCTGAGCCAGGTGGGATCCTGATCCTGCCCTCAGGTGAGATTAACTGGTTAGAGTTTGCCCTCCATTCCCACAGGCAAAATAAAGCAGAAAAGACAATTTGGAGAAGCTGGGGTGTGGGGGACTGTGGGTGCAGCAGCCACAGCTTGACACATGGGGTACACAGGTGGCTGGGGCTGTGAGGCTGGACCCGGGAAGGGCAGAGGCCCAGCCAGGTGCACCAAGGTCTCCCACAGGAGAGGGTCTGGAGTCCCATAAAACCTACCTAGTGGGCCACACCCAGATTTCTATGTTTTCATAAAATAGAATAAAAAATAAATCATCGGAGGGAACTGTGAGGAAGCTCATGTGTCCTGGGCCCTGAGAAAAATTCATATATAGCTGAGGTTTCAAAAGTGCAGTCACTATACCAACGAGTTCCCAGAAAACTGCAAACCAAGAACAGAAAACCCAATCCCAGCCCAGAGCAGAGACTTAGGCAGCTTTGTGGGACAGAGCCCAGGAACCTGGGGAGCCCATGGGCGGGGTGGGGCTCATGGCATGGGAACAGCAGCTCATGGGGTAAGGCTGGGGCAGAAAGGACCCGCTTGCCTCTCACTCCCTCTGGCCTTCCACTGTCACCCAGAAAGACTCCGTTTACCTGAGGGTGACCTGTACTCTGCACCATGGTCTCTCTGGCCCTGGCCCTCCCCTCAGAAGCAGAGGGCAGTCCGCCCAGCCAGGCAGGAGCCCCTGCACCCAGGGACTCCACCAGTTTCTGACAGGCAGAGGGGCAGGGGTGGGGCCCACTGTCCTCCTGGTCCTGAGCACTCAGGGGCCGGTGGCCATGGCGAGGCAGCTGCTGTGTCCCTACCCTCAGCAGAGCTGGGCTGGAGGCCCTAGTATGACGGCCTTCCCCTGCCCCACCCTGGGCCTTTCAGATGACCCTGACCCTTGACACCTGCTGCACAGGGTCCTTGCTGAACTCGGTTTTGGTCCAGAGTTCAGAATTCGCTGACCACTGGCCTCAGGGCAGCT